TCCGCCCACGTGAACACGTCCCTGGCCTTCAGCGCCGACGCGTTGGCGCACAAGACGATGGCCTCTGGAAACCCCTGGCCCCCCTAGTGGCCCCTGATCGTATCGGAAAATCGAACTGGCCATCGACATACATACACACATATATATATATATATATATATATATATATATGTATATATATATACACGTATGTATATAATCAAAGCAGCAAGAAACAGCAGGCAGATCGAAAGGCAACGGAATCAGTGTCCGCCGGCCAAAGCCGAGGTCTGCACGAAGACATCCAAACTTACGTCGGAATCCAGTCGAATCGATCCGGAATCGGAATCCTTGAAATCGCATCGATTCGAATCGACAGAATAGAAATCCTCGAAATCGAATCGAATCGAAACGAAATCCTCGGAATCGAATCGGATCGATGCGGAACCGGATGCCTCGAGATCGAATCGACCCGCATCGCCAGGGTCGAAGCCTGGCCTCTGCTGCCCCCGACGGGCTCGCGCCAGGATGGGGCGGCGGGGCACGAGCAGCAGCGGGGAGCCAGCAGCATGGCGCGTGGAAAGACGCAGACACGCGGCATAGTCGGGGAGACATAAGACTCAGGTTCGGGGGACTCGGGTTGGCCTGACAGTGCTATCGTGGAAATTGACGAGACCCAGTCTGAGATTCGCAGCGATCTCCCGCTGCAGGCGTCCCACGAAAACTGAACCGTCTAAATCCATGAGTATCGTTTAGCCGATTCCCATCCCCAGCGGCTTGGCCTGGGCCCCACTGGTCGATTTACCCCCTGGATGGGCATATAGGCCGTTCCTTTCGGGTTTCGAGGGGTGTATCCCCAACTGGGGTGGTAATTTGGTGGGGGTCTCGAAGGGGATAGGGGATGGGGATGGGGGTCGGTTAAACGATACTGAATCCAGGACCCTCTCGTCAAAAGACGTAGGCAAAACCTGATCCCGGCGCACTCGAGCCTTACGCTTCCCCGACACGGGTGTGCAATGGAGGCCCGTCCGCAAGAAACCTTCCACAAGAAACCCGGCCCTGAGACCCCAGGACGTCCATTGGTCTTTGGTGTCGGGACGTCGCGCTTTCCATCGCAAAACCGTCGAAACCCAAGAAACCGGGGGCGCCATGGAGGCAAGCAGGGTGTTTCTTGGCATGGGTCTCCACTGCACTCGAGTGTTACGTTTCCCGACACAGACGTGGTGTCTCTGAGTGCCGCGCGGATTTTTCCGAGATCGGCGCTGGGCCCCCTCCCAAAAGCGCGCGGAGCGCGCCAGGGGCGACGCCAGAGGCGCCGCCAGGGGAGCCCAGTGCCGATCTCGGAAAAATCCGCGCGGACCCGAGAGAAAATATTAAGCATGTGTCTATGTGTTTCTGCGTATCCCCCCCCTCTCAACTAACCCCCCTCCATTCCCCGACCCCTCCCCTGAACCTCTGCCTCCACCTCCTCCACCCCATCCTCCTCACCCTCCTCCTCCTCATGCGGATCCTCCCCCTGCTCGTCCCAAGTACTTCTCCTCCTTCTGCCTCGTCGTGGTCAACGTCCTCGTCTTCAGCGTCGGCGGCGGCGGCCGCAGGGCCTTCGCAAGATCAAGCATGTGTGTGCCTTTTTTCTGCGACACGTGAAGGCTCGAAAGACGAGGCCTGTCCTGACGACGAGGTGCCGGGGCATGGCCAGGCGGGAAGCGAGCGCAGCGTGCGCCCGCAAGGGCGACCGCGCCCCCGTCGGCCCCCCATTGCGGGGCCGGCAGGCCACGGGGCAGAGGTGCTCGCCGCCGCGCAGCTGCACAACCGCAGCATGTCGGGCAACACGGCACAGTCGACCCGCAGAGGAAGGACGGGCAACCTTCCCAAGGGTACCCTTGCATCCTTGCTTCCTGGGTCCATCCTTGGACACTTTCGTTGGCCGCGCCCCGCTCGAAACGCTTCGGAATGTGCGCCCAAGGGCCTTGCATCCTTATCGCGCATCCTGACTCTGCGGGTTGACTGTAGGCCGGGAGCAGTTCCGAAGATCTGGCCTTCGCTTCTCCAGCTGGTCAGAGCACGCGCGACGACCCCCCCCCCATCTGCACATCTGATGCTGCAGCAGCGCCCCCAGCCCCTGGGTGCGCAGTGGCACGGAGAAATCCGCCGACGCCGTCGGCGTGTGAGGGGGTGTGTGTCCTGGGATGATCGTCCTGGGTTTGTCCCGGGAGACGCTTTTGTATTGGGAGCACTCTCACCTGGGGCCCCCCACGCTCAATCGACCCAGGTCGTCATCGAAGAAACCCGTTCACTTTGACCCCTTCCCCACCAGGGATGGGGTCCTGGAGGGTCGTTCCACGGGGGGCGGCCCTCCCCGCTGGCCCCTCCCTGGAGTGCCCCTGGCTGCAGACAACCCGTACCATAAGGATGCGCGGTAAGGATGCCAGGGGCCTTGGGGCCATGTGAACGTTTTTATCGAAAGAGGCTCGCGAGCGAAAGTCGCTAAGGACGGGCCGAAGGGGCAAGGATGCAAGGGTACCCGTGGGAAGGCTGCCTATCCTTACTGCGCGGGTTTATCGCACCTCGGGCCAATCTTGCCGTCGTTGGGACTCCCCATGCCCGCCATCACGCTCTCGGGGCCAACTGTAGCGCTCGCGTGGGTCGATCAGGACGCCTTGGAAACCCTGAGGGCCTGGTCCAAGAGGCCCGAATCGGCTACGCACTTATGCTATACTAACGTTAAGGCCGCATCGGTTGAAGAGCATCCAGGACGGCCCGAGAGGTCCCCAAGACTGTCCCTCCCCGTCCCTCTGCCTGCTCCTCCTCCTCAACCTCCTCCTCCGTATCTTCCCTCTCCTCGCCCTCCCCTCCACTCCTCCTACTCAGCTTCCTCCTCCGGAGGACCCAATAGAACTCCAAGAGGGGACCCAACACGGACCCAAGGGGGCCCCCCGAAGCACTCTTGTCGCCGCATCGCTGGAAGCCGGAAGCCAGACCCTTCAGCAGGATCCCAAGGCCCCCAACAGGCCCCGAAGAGGGGCCCAGGATACCTCCAGGCGGCCCGAAGACGCACCACAAAGGCCCTGAGGAATCACCCCAACGACCCTCCAGAGCCCCCGAATATCTCCGAGACATCTGCAACACGACCCAAGCGTAGTGGCGGGATGGGGCCACGTCCACTAGACTGTCCCCCTCGCATTCAAACCGCAACTGCCCCTTGCCTTCGTCCCGATTCCGCTTCTTGCACGTGAGGTGTTCTCTTCTCAAGAATGGCGCAACTGGCCATGAGGCCTTGGCAAGACAATGGCCCCTCGCTAAAAAAGGCACGATCGCTGGCAAACACAACGGATCAGCGCGCCCAGCAGCACGGCCACGTGCACGATACCATGGATCCACGATCCCTCACCAGAAGTAGGCTCGCGCTGCCAAGGTGACGACCATTTGGAACAACCTGTTCAGACTGACAAAAGGCCTCCAAGATGGGGTCGGAGTGGATGGGGTTGGAGGATCGCGCTGCATCGTCGATGCTTCATCGATGCATCGGCGATGCGTAGGAAACGCCAGCGATGCATCGGCGGCATCGGCGTGGAGAAATGTGGGCTCCACATCGAGCCGCATCGCCGACCTATCGACGATGCAGCTCGACCCTCCGATCCCATATTCTCGGACCCCACCCGGGAGGCCTGGCAACACGGCCACGTTCCGTAGAACCATTTTTTCGCCAGCGGCGAGGCAACGGCGGTCTGCTCCAGCGTGTGGCAATTCGGGGCAAACGAAAGGCTGATTGGCCGGCGTGCGAGAGGGGATGGAGAACGACGAGAGCGGCCGCGCGGGGAGAGGGGGAGGGGGCAGCGCTCTGGCGTGGAAGAATTCCGCGTCGAGCGGGCTGGAGCGGCAACCCCGCCGGGGCTGCGGGAGGAGGAGGAGAAGGAGGAGGAGGAGGAGAAGGAGGATGGGGTGGAGGAGGAGGAGGAGGAGGAGGAGGAAGAGAAGGAGGGGGAGGAGGAGGAGGAGGAGGAGGAAGAGGAAAGGAGAAGAGGAGGAGGAGGAGGAGGACGACCCATAGAACATGCTGTCCGAGCTCCACAAAACACGACTCCTGGCAAAGCCTACTTCGGGCACAGCCGGTGTGGGCCTCTGCAGCCGCCCCGCGCCGAAGGCACGCCATTTTAGGTGGAGTGTCCCCCCCAAAGGGGGGGATCGCTCTTTTGGGTTATGTTGCTCGGAATTCTTTCTGGTGATCAAGGCGAAAGCAAGTTTGAACATCATAACTCTTGGGAGCCTCCCCAGCCGTCTTGCAGGCTCTAGGGGAGCGCGGCTCTGACCACCCTTTCTCGGGAGCGCTCAGACATCGATTAGTGATCCATGGATTTGGCGCGCGGTCGCCAAATCCATGGATCGGGGGAGGTGACCTCCCCAAAATGCGGAGGGAGCCGCCTCGTTCGGGGGCGGAAATCGCGATTCCCCATGAAAACGGGACCCGTCGCTAATCCACGCCCCCATAATCCATGTTTGCGATCGCCTGACTTTCGGTGGCAACTGAGCTCTTGCGAATCGACGCGAGTCGACGCTCAATCGATGCTGAACGACGCTAGATCGACGCTAGCCGACGCTGAATCGGCGCTGTCTCATCGACTCCCAGGCGCTGATCGACGCTAGCCGACGGAATTCAGAGGATTCACCAAGCACCCACGAGATGCTACTGAGAACCCTCCTCTTCGCCGCCCCCATCACCCCTCTGAACCTATGCTTGCTCTGGATCCAGGTGCCAACTGCACTCCGTCCTCGAACTTTGCCTGGGCACGCCCGAAGCGGGTACGGAAAAAAGTGTCGAATGCCCAACAGCTCCTGTTGTAGCAAACCAGCAGGGGCCGCTGTGGTGCAGGCGACCCTTTGACTCAAGAGGACTACGTCCGCGGCGACACCGACAGCGAATCTTGTTCCATGTTGACAAGGAGCTGTTGGCCTTCGTCATCACTCTCTCCGTACCCATTTCGATCCTCCAAGTACTTGCATTGGAGACCCCATGCGGTGCGGTCGGTGACAGACCGCGAGGCAACCTCGGGACTCCCAACGACCCAGCGGCACGGTCAATCACCGCCTCGTGTTGGTACCCCGGAGGCCCCAATTGCCCGAGACGCCCTCGGAGAACGGCCCGAATCCCCCCAAACCGTGCGGTCACCCCGCACACCCGCTGACCCACCACACCACTTGGTCGCGCGCAGAGCCCCCGATACCCGAAACAGGAAGACAACGGTACCGCTGCTCCACGGACCTCTCCCGGGCTCCGCCCTGACCGGGAGTTCGAGACGAGTCCAGCGGCGGCGGCGAGGGCCTCCCAGGAAGGCCAACAGGGCGAAACCGCGCAGGGAGGGTAGCAGCAGGGGTACCTGCTGCTCCTCTGGATCGAGCGGCCTTGCGCCGCGGCTTGCGAAAGCGGTTCAGAGGATTCTCCAGGACGAGCGGCGGTAATGGCACCTTCTCCGATCAGCCGTGCGGTCGCCGCGCCGCTCGGGGGCCCCCGACTGCAGGCTGCGACCGCGCCGGCCGCATCAGGGGCCATGGAAGGCCCCAGGGGTCAGGTCGGGCATCTCCTCCTCCAGACGGACTTTGGACGATGAAAGGCACGTGCCCAACAAAAACATAAACAGCATAACACTCGTCCCCAGCCTATTTTTTGACTACTCCTGATAAATGCTCCTCCCGTAGAGGGACACGCCCGACTTCGCCCCAAGGGGGGGGGCGGCCTGCGCCATCCTCTCGGCGGCCTCCTGCGGCATGAGCTCGAACTCCCCCGCACCGACCTGGCGGTCAGACGCCGCGGACGTGCTCCCCCCCTCCCGTGGAAGAGCACAGGCAGGCTTGACTGGAGAGGACACGCGAGAGGGCACAGGGCCCTTTCGAGGGCCACATTGCCACAGGAATGCACGAAGCATGGGTCGCGAGACACAGGACACAAGGGCACCCTTGAGCTGGCAGGGTCGAGCCAGTCATCCGGACCGCCCGTACAGAATGGCGTGCGCAGGATATCTCACGCTCTCCGCCCCAAGAGGACCCCCGAGACCGCCGGCAGGCCCCCGAGGGGCCCCCTCGGACCCCCCAGGAGGTCCCGAAGAGGCCCAAATCGTGCCCCAGGCAGTCCCATAAGAGGCCCCAGGACACCCCCGAAAGTGCCTCGAGGAGGCTTCCGAGAAGCCTCCTAAGAGATGCCCACAGGCATCCAAGACGCCTCTGACAACACATGCACGGTGGCAGAATTGGCCGAAGGCCACCAGTTCCACCACCCCCTGTTGATTTATCGAAGGGGTGCCTGGCGTGCTAGATGTCTGTCGTTTTGTTCCCCAATTAGGCTTGGGACTCTTACTGGGTTAAGGATAGATGTCCCACCCGCGACCCACCCGCGACCCTCCCGCGACCGATCCACATTGGCTCGAAGAAAGAATCGGCGCCTGCAGCGGGCTCGTCATATAATGTGTGGAACCTTGGCGCCTGCGGCGGGCTTCTCCAGAGTCTCGCAGACTGCCGACGTCCCCACCGCCCTCTCACTCCTACCCGCATCTGCGGGGTGCTACGTATCTATTTTGCCCGGTCCCTGGAGATTCCGATATTCCACGGGCTCCTCGGGCTCCCCGCCATCGGTGCCTCGGGCGTGCTAGTCTGCCCGTTCCCCGGAGATTCTCTGGGTACCTCGGACAGTGTTCCTCGGGTTCCTCAGGCAACGCCAAGGAATGCTGAGCACAGCGCCAATACAATAGGAACCCTTCCCAAATTGGGGTCGCGCCGGTTTCATGGATTCTTGTCGAAAGATCTCCACCACGTGGCTTCGGCCTAGACCTCGGGCCGCCCGGCAGGACACGCAGTGACCCACAAAGGCCACATTACATCGCACCAGGACTCCCCACATGGCCTCGAGACGGCCTCCAAGACGGCCAAGATGGTCCAGGAAGGAGCCAAAACGACTCCAAGACCGCCCAAGATGCACCCAGCATGGCCTAAAATGGCCTCAAGGTGGCCTCAGACGGTCCAAAACGGCACAAGAAGGCCCCCAGAGGCCTCCAAGATGGCCCAAGAGGCCTCCGAGAGGATCCTCAGGAAGACCCGAATGGTCAAAACCATTTTCCTTGAGAGGGAGGGACGCATGGGGGCATGTGGAGGAGGGAGGGCATTGGCGGATGGAGAGGGTGGGTGAGGAGGAGAACGCTGGCCACCTCCGCGGACGCCCTGCCCGAAACCTTGGGAGCCCCCCCCCCGAACACCTCCAAACGCCGCGCACGCAGGCACGCGCACGCACGCATACGCACGCACACGCACGCACACGCGCCCACGCGCACACACGCACACACGCACAGACGCCCACGTTCACACACGCACACACGCAAACACACACACATGCACATACACACGCACACACGCACACACACGCACACACACGCACACACGCACACACACAGACACTCTTTTGCGTCGGCGGCAAGGCAGCGGTGGCGCTGGCGGATAGGGCATGTGCGCACACACACAACACGCACACACGACACACACACACACACCACACACAAAACACTCAACACACACAACACACACACAACACACACACAACACACAACACACACAAAACACACAACACACAACACACACAACACACACAACACACACAACACACACACAGCACACACAACACACACAACACACACAACAAACACACAACACACAACACTCACAACACACACACAACACACACACACACTACACACAACACACAACACACACACACAACACACACAACACACACACAACACACACAACACACACACCCACAATACACACAACACACACAACACACAACACAAACACACTCACAACACACTCAACACACACGCACAACACACACCACACACAGACGCACAACACTCACAACACACACAACACACACACACCACACACACCACACACACACAACACACACGACACACACAACTCACATCACACACAACACACACAACACACACAACACACACAACACACATAACAAACACACAACACACACAACACTCACACAACACTCACACAACACTCACACACAACACACACAACACACAACACACACAACACACGCACGCACGCACACGCACGCACGCACGCACGCACGCACGTACGTACGTACGTACGCACGTACGCGCGCAAGCACGCGCACGCGCACGCGCGCGCAAGCACGCGCACGCGCACTCGCGCACGCGCGCACGCGCGCACGCACGCGCACAAACGCACACACGCACACACGCACACACGCACACACGCACACACGCACACACGCACACACGCACACACGCACACACGCACACACGCACACACGCACGCACGCACGCACGCACGCACGCATACACGCGCACACGCACACACGCACACGCGCATACACGCGCACACGCACACTTGGCACCCCCCCCCCACGCACACGCACCCGCACGCACACGCACACCGCACGCACACGCACGCACACACAGCACTCCCACAACACGCACGCGCACGCACACGCACTCACACAACCACACACGACTCACGCACACGCACGACACGCCAAGCCACGCACGCACGGACGCACACGCACCCCCGCACACTGCCCTCACATGCCACACACACGCACTCACTTACGCACGCACACGCCACGCACCGCACGCACCGCACGCAACATCTCACGCACACGCCACGCTCGCACAAGAAGCTACACGCACGCACACTCCCGCAAACGCACGCCACGCACGCCCGAACGAGCACTGCACGCACGCACAACCACCGACCCACGCTACACGCCACAGCACCAAAACCCACGCACACCCACTCACCCCAACAGCACATACCCACGCGCACGCACGCACACCCACGCACACCCACGCACACCCACGCACACCCACGCACACCCACACATACGCACACCCACACATACGCACACCCACACATACGCACACCCACGCACACCGACGCACACCCACGCACACCCACGCACACTCACACACAACCACACACACACACCCACACACACACACACGCACACGCACACGCACACGCACACGCACACGCACACGCACACGCACACGCACACGCACACGCACACGCACACGCACAAGCACACGCACACGCGCGCGCGCACGCGCACGCGCAAGCGCACACAGACAAGCACACGCTCACGCTCACACTCACGCGCACGCACGAACACACACTGCACACTCTAACAAAACTATTCCCTCCAGCGGCGAGGTGGCGACACCGTCGCGAAGTGCTAAGCCGGGACACGCTTCTGCGAATTTCCACCAGGCGTAGCAGATGAATGGCTTGGACCGTGGTAGTCGCGTGCAAAAGAGAAAAACAAGCGGGAACGCACGCACGTGGAAGGCGCATACGAGCACTCACAGACAGACACACACACACAGACACACTGACACACACACAGACACACTCTGACACACACACACACAGACACACACAGACACACAAACAGCCAGACAGACAGACAGACAGACAGACAGACAGACAGACACACACTGACGGACACCAACAGGCACAGAGAGACACAGACAGACACACCTACATACACACAGACACACACAGACACACACAGACGCACAAAGACACACACACACACAGAAACACACAACACACACACACACCACACTAACACAGACCGTCTTCCTCTGACGCGCCAAAAAGCCCACTCGGCGGATGGGGGGAGCACGGCGCGTCCTCCTCTAGGCAAGTGGTGCATCGACACAGAAGAAGACGGGGAGGAGGAGGAGGAGGAGGAGGAGGAGGAGGAGGAGGAGGAGGAGGAGGAGGAGGAGGAGGAGGAGGAGGAGGAGGGGAGGAGGAGAGGGAGGGAGGAGGAGGCGAAGAGGGAGATGAGAGAAAGAGGGGAGGAGGAGGAGTACTAGGAGGGAGGCGGAGAAGGATGAGGAGGGAGGAGGAGGAGGAGAGTGAGGAGGAAGAGGCGGAGGAGGACGAGGAGGAGGAGGCGGAGGAGGACGAGGAGGAAGAGGCGGAGGAGGACGAGGAGGAAGAGAGGAGGCGGAGGAGGCTTCGGAGGAGGAGTAGGAGGAGGAGGACGAGGAGGAGGAGGACAGGAGAGGGGGGAGCCAGCGCCCACCTGCGGCAGCACAAACCGGACCATGCCGCCCACCAGGATCGCGAGCACGGCCAACTGGCAGGCCAGGGGCACCGGCGAGAAATCGTCCAGGAGCGCCAACCCGAGGAAGAGGAGGTTGAGCGCCAGCAGCACGGCGCCTCGACGGGGCTGCGCCGCCGACGACGACGACCACGACGATGGCGACGACGACGACGAGGATTACGATGCCGCCGACGAAAACGACGACAGCGATGGCGAGGAGGGCGACGACGGCGGCGACGACCTTGAAGAGAGGGCCATTGGCGAGCGGAGCCCCGCGGGCGGGTCGGGCGGACTCGCACTCGGGCGGCCGGGCCGCAAGGGGCAACGGTTTGTCGGGGCTCTTTTGCCACTGCAGCGTCCTGGGGCGCCCTGATAGCCACGGCTTCAGTTCAATTTGGAATGTAGACGCCTCCTAGATAGGGTCGGAGCAGATGGTGTCGAAGGATCGCGCCACATCGCAAATGTATCGTCGATGCGTCGTCGATGCGCGTCGGCGATATGCCGGCGGCGTCGACGTCGGAAACACGGGCTTCACATCGAGCCGCATTGTCGATGCAACGGCGATGCGGCGCGATCCTCCGAGCCCATCTACTCGGACGCCATCTGGGAAGCCTGGAAAACGGTGGTTACACATGCATGGTTGGGCGCTTCTGGGGGCCGATTCTCGAACTCCGAACTCCCAGATTCCCTCGCGCTGCTAACACAAACCGCGGACCGCGGCGCAACCCTTTCTGCAATTGCAGGCGTCTAGGGACGCATTTGGTGCCAGGCGTGCGCTCTCGGCGGCATAATGCAATGAACGTATCCGAGTTCGAATGTGAGCTGGGGGGGGAATGAGAGTTGAACATCGAGGGGCAATTCGACGTTTGAGAGAGCGCGTTTCAGGGGCGCTTGCCTTGGGAACATTCCGCGGCGCGTTTGGAAGCGGGGGGTGGGCCCCCCCCAACACTCGGCGACGTCGATCAGAACCAGGGGGATTTCCCTCCCACCTTACCCCCCCCGTCCCTCACCCCCCCACCCCCCTCCCAACGTGGGGGGATCCAAACCCTCCCCCCGGCGCCGGTGCCGGCGACGGCGGCCGCCAGCAGCGCAGACGACGGGGACACAGCGACGATAACCAGAGAGGGCCCACGGAGAGAGGGGGGGGATCCAGACCCCCAACCCCCCGTCGGCGCCGGCGCTGGCGGCCGCCAGCAGCGCCGACGGCGGGGACGCAGCGGCGATGACCAGAGAGGGCGCAGAGGCCGCAGAGGGAACACACAAATCGCCATATCAGCCACTGAGAGGCCCGAGTGTCCACGAGGCTTCACACATGATCCTCAGACGCCCCCGAGACCCTTCTGACGGGACCTCAACAGGCATCCATGAGAACTCTAATCCAAAGCCAACACACGGTGACGGGAAGAGCCGAAGGCCACACCACCACCATCACCCTCACCACCACCACCACCGCCACCACCACCACAACCACCACGACCCACCACCACGACCCACCACCACCACAACCACCATCATCACCACGAGCAACTACACCACCAACACAACACCACCGCCACCACCACCCCCACCTTCACCCACCACCACCACAACTACCATCACCACCACCACCAAAAACCATCGCACAACCAACACCACCACCGTCGCCGCCACCACCACAACCTGCCACTGAAACTACCACAGAAACCACCACCACCACTAACCACCACACTACCACCACCACCATCACCGCAACAATCACCACCACCACCACAACCACCACCGCTACAGCCCACCACCACCAACACGTCAGAGAGGCCCCAAGAGACTCCCAAGAGGCGCCCAGGAGGCTTCACAAACGCCCTTCAGAAGCCCCCGAGAGCCCTCCGACGCGATCCAAAGAGGCATCCATTAGGACTCTTACCCAAAAACAAGGCACGGCGGAGGAGCGTCGTCGTGGTCGTCATCGTCGGCGCCGTCGTCCTCGTCGACGCTCCCCGCCGTCGCTGCCCGCCGCTGCAGGCGCTGGCGCTGGCGCTGGCCCAGAAAAGGAGGTCGCCGTCCCCGCCGCCGCCAGCCTCGGGGACCTTCTGACCCGGGTCAATCCAGACCCGGGTCAGCAGGAAACCAAAAACTGCAATGCAGGAAAAAAAAACTGCAACGCAGGTCTTCGCAAACCCGGGTCAGCCAATAATCGCGGCCGCCTCGCGGCCACGAGCGGCTCGCTGACCCGGGTCAGCCAGAGGGGGTCTTCGCAGGATCCTGCAGGATCCGGTGCCCTGGCTGAACCCCGTTTGCACTGACCCCCGTCTCTTGAGTCCCGACAGCCGCCGCCGACGCAGGCGCCGGCCCGAAAAGGAGAAGGAGAACGGAGGGGGGGGTCGAACCGCCCCCCTCCGTCACGGGAGGGGGGGGGTCCAGTTCCACCCCCCCCCCTCCAAGCGGACGTTTTGGAGCCTCTGGAAAACGACGAGTGGGACTGGAAGGGTGATCCATGCTCAACGTGCGTGGACGAGATAACAAGCCATAAACCTTCTATGGGCTTATGGGATGTCCCCGTCGCTACGGGTGGATCTACATCGAAATTCTGGCCAGAACGATACAAGGAGGGTGATCTAATCTCAACGTGCTTAGACGAGATAACCAGCCGTAAACCTCTCATGGAACTTATGGGATGCTCCCGTCGCTGCAGCTGGATCCGCAGCGAAATTCCGGCCGACACGCTCCCCACGAGCGCTTGGGAGAGGGGACAACACAGAGTGTTGGAAATTTGTTGTTGTTGCGCCTCCTGGGGCGACATCGAGGCCACGGATACAGTGGAGGCTAGTCCACAAGAAACCCTCCACAAGAAACCCAACCCTGAGACCTCAGGACGTCCATTGATATTTGGTGTGGGAACGCCACGCTTTCCATAACCATCTAAACCCAAGAAAATCAAAACACCCTGGAGGCACGCAGGGTGTTTATTGGCATGGGTCTCTATCGTAGGCGCAGCGTGGACAAATGGTCGAAATTTGTCCGGCGGGGGTCCAGGGACCGGTTTGAATGAACTGTGGTCGAGTGGGGGGCACCGAGGGGGGTACAACGAAGAATTTGACAGACAGGAGCACCCCGTCTGGACCCCTGGAGGAACAAACGTGTCCCAAGACGGGCCACGAAAACGCAGAAAAGGCACCCCAGGACGGGCCAAGAGGGCTCCGAGACGGCCCATGAGCGCTCCGTCACACCTCGACAGCAGGAGTGAAATCAAATGGTTCGCTTAGGTCTGATCCCTCCTCCCTCCTCCCTCTCGGAGCCCAGGATTCAGAAGACGACGGATGACTCAGGCGAAACGGGCCACACCACCTTGAGCACGTTTTCTCACAGCCAAGAGGAGCCAGGATGTCTCATGCGAAACTGGCTGGACCACCTCGCGCACATCTTCTCAGAACCCAGAGTTGCGAGGACGTCTAATGCGAAACGGGCCAGACCATCTCGTGCACAGCATCTCGAAGCCCAGAGATGTGACGATGTCCATCTCGCGCGCGGCGTCTCGGATATCAGACTTGCGAGGATGTCTCAGGCGACGAGCGCCTTACTTCCTCGCTCACGACATCTCGGAACCCAGAATTGCGAGGACGCCTCAGCCGAGACAAGCCGGACCGGCCCTCAGAGAGGACCTCGGGGCCCAGAGTTGCGAGGATGTCTCATGCGAGAAGCGCCAGGCCACCTCTCGCGCGGCATCTCGACACTCATTTCGAGGAGGCCTCGAGCGAAACGCCCAGCCCCGGCACACTCGAGAAAACCACTGCTGGGAAGACGTCTCTGGGGAAACGGCCTTGACCCTCCCCCGGCCGGGCCTGGCTTCCATCACTGAAGGGGCCCACACACACAAATAAATACACACAAATAAAATAATTCCCAATATTTTCCTATATTTTCTGGGTTTTTGTCTTTCCCCCCACTTCCCATATTTTCCCATATTTTCTCGGGAATCGACGATTAATTGTGTCTGTGTGTTTCTGTCCCCTCCTGAATCACACCAGCATCCCGTCATAGGCAAGCTGCTTTGGGGGAAAGGGGCATCTCCATCCCCCCCAAAAGGCCTCCCCGATGGCGTCCAAGCAGATGGGGCCGAAGGATCGCGCCACATCGCCGATGCGGCGGCGACTGGCGACACCAAAAGGTACCGATGCCGCTACTCCCCGGACCTCTCCTGGGGTGCGTTCTGACCAGGATTCCGAGGCGAATCCAGCGGTGGCGACGAGGGCTACCCAGGAGGCACGCGGGAAAGGGAACACGAGCCAAGGGTAGAGGTATGGGTGCCTTTCCTCCCCTGAGCGACGTCCGCGAGAAGCTCGGGGTCCACATCGAGCCGAGCCGCTGTCGCATCGGCGATCCTTCGACCCCAGCCGGCTCGCACCCCGCCCGGAAGGCCGCGACCGTCCCTCCCGCCGCGCCCGTCTTCGCGGGGCTCTTCCACAGCAGCAGGTCGGACTCGATGAGCGCCGCGTCCGCCATCGCCGCCGGAAGCGCCCGCCCAGCCTCGCGCCCCAGGGAGCGCGGGGCAACGGCAAGGGCGACCGGCTCGGGGGGGGGGCGGGGCGTCGACCTGGCATCGGCGATGCATCCATCGCCGATAGATTTGAGTCGGGCGTGTCCCCCTACATGGGGGATGTTGGGCGAAACATGAAACAAATACTTTAAAAAAGACCCTCCAGATGCCCAAAAATAGTCAAAACAAATCGCCCCCAGACTATCTTTGGACTATTCTGGAATATTCCCCTTGTTAAAACAGGGCCAGGATCGGGATAAATCGCTCCAGAGCGTTCCGGAGCGCTCTCAGAGCGTTCCGGAACGCTCTGGAGCGGCCGCGGCGCCCAACACATCCTCCAAGCCCGCCGATTCTCAGAGATTTCGAGTTATCCCGACCCGAATCTGTCCCGATCTTCGCGTCGCCTTACCTGTAGAGGGACGGGCCCGACCTGCACCGTGGCATCGGCGACGCCTCGCCGACAGAGCGGCGAGGGGCCCCCGGCGGCGCACCTGCAGGGCCCTGCGCGGGTCGGGCTGCCGGGCCCCCCCCCCGGGGCGACAGGGGGGGGCGACCGGGGAGGTGGACGCGTCCCCGCCCTCGCCACCGCTCGGGCGTCCGCGCCCCGTGCACGCCGCGCGAGCTCGACGGCGCGCGCGTTTTGCTGTTCTGTCGCCAGAGGATCCAGGAGGCTCCTCGAGGGTCCTCGCCGAGAGAGGTCAGCGTTGTCTTGCTCGGAGTTTCGGCACTGGGCGGACGGGGGGGGGAGAGGGGCCTGTCTCCGGACCCCTGCACATGCTCCGAAGCGTGCGTCCCGTGGGCGAGACTCCACCTGCTTGAAACAAGTGCCAAAACAGCCAAGATCTACTCGATGGGGTGGGGGACGAAGGTTGCGAAGGCCCGCGCCGATCGGCAAAACAATGAATGAGAAAACGGCGGTGCAAGTGCACACGTCCGAGCGGTGCCACGCCCCTTGGCCTCTCCCCCCGAGCGCTGCCCCCGGCAGAGCGGCGCCCCCCCGCGGTGTTGGGGGGGGGGGGGGGCGTACGGCCCCAAGAAGCTGCAGCGGACAAGCGGTGGGGGGGAGGGGGGCCCCTCCTCCTCCTCCTTCTCCTCTTATCCTTCCTTTTCCTCTATCCTTTTCCTCTTCCTCCTCCTCTTCCTCCTCCTGCTGCTGCTCCTGCTGCTGCTCCTCCTCGTCCTCCTCCTCCTCCTCCTCCTCCTCCTCCTGCTGTTCCTCCTGTTCCTCCTCCTGCTCCCCCTCCTGCTGACAAACGCTCGAACGTTCATTCCCCGTGCGCGTTTCGATGCCGTGTTTTTTTTGGGCGCAAGAGGATCCAGGATGCTCCTCGATGGTCCTCGCCGGAAACAAATGCACACGTCCGAGCGACGCCAACTGCGGAAAGGCGCTTCCCTGCCCCGCTCCAGCAGGCTGCGAGTTGGGGCGCGCCCTTCGCCACAAGGTGTCTTGCATCGGCTGCGCCTGGCAGCGTGGCTGGCGATCCCTCGCCCCCTTCACCTACGCCTCCTCCTTCCCTCCCTCCTGCGCCTCCTGCCTCCTGTTTTTGTTTCTTGTTCTCGGTGCGTTTGTGCAGAACCCAGTCTCGGAGCGCCCGCGGCTCGGCACTCTCGTGCTGCCTCTGGCCGGTGACCCCCCCCCCCCCCGTGAGCACCCCGCTTCCCAGGGTTCGGGGTGATGAAGCCGCGCTCTGGACTGCGGAGGAAGCTTCACCACGGGGGGGGGACTCGGATAATGAGAAGATTCTTGCCTCGTGCTCCGCCCACCCCTGCTCTTCCTCCCCGAGCTTCGGAGACTGGGCCCAGGGAGGTCATCAGGACCAATCGACGAGGGCGGCGCCGGCAGCAGCCGCAGCGCCCCGCAAGCCTGGAAGATGCGCTGAGTGCGGGCCAGGGGGGAAGTAGTCAAGAGATGAAAAGAAGCCTGGCGACGAGGAATCTTTGGCATCCCTGCGGGTCCCGTATGCGGACGGCTGCGCAGCCCTCGACGAGGACAGCGATGGCCACGGCAAGACCAACGAGAGCAGCACCTCCATGGACGGGGGACAGGAGGCAGGAGCACGCCATCCTGCGGCCGACGACAAGGTGGAAGATGCCATGTGCACATGCTCGCATGGCTCCGCGGACATGGGACGCCGACGCACGTGTGCGCGGACTTCGCGGAGTGGTTTTGCGACGGCGGAGTGGCAATGGCCGGTTCCGATCGGTGTGTACTCTGTTTCGCTGGGGATCCCCAGCGCCCGTGCCATGCGGTGTGCGACACATGGCGATGGGCGCTGGTTGGTGGAGGCGTCGGAGGAGGGCCAATCAAGGCAACGGCGACTCTCCCGCCCAACACAAATCGGTTCGAAATCCGTCCCTGGGCCCCTCCCAAGTCCATCCTGATCCTTCGGTCAGAGGCGGTCCCGGCCGTGCATACGAGAATGTCCCAGAGGGGCCGCGAAGGACGCACAGCCCGAAAGATGGCCGCCGTTGTCTCCACCAGGAGAGCCCAGAATCGAATCGATAAATCGGATCGGCAATCGACATGAATCGGATCGACGGAAATCGGCAGCCGAATCGGGAAAAGTCGAATCGGCGGAAATCGGCAGGCCAGTATGCCTCCAATAAGAAATCGGAATCCACATCGGAATCCGAAATCGAATCGAATCGGAATCGGAATCCATCGAAATCGAGTCGAATCGAATCGTAAGAATCGAAACGCGCCCTGCTCCACTGGCCATCATCCGAGAATGACCTTCACTGTCACTATGCTGATCTGCAAGGCCGCTTGGGCTACGGCCCCACACGCCAGCGGCGCAGTGGAGTGGGATCGGCCGCCCTTCTCCAGCAGTGAGGCATGAAGTGGGAGAGGCACAGCGTGTCAAGACAGCCGTGCCTACACCGTGCCACGCCATACCATGCCATGCAATTTCATGCCACGCCAGGCCATGCTGCTTGGTATTGAACGAACGGTCCTCCTCCTCCTCCTTCTCAACTCTCCCTGCTTGCCCAAATCTCCGTATTCCTCCTCCTCCTCCTTCTCCTTCTCCCCTTTCTCCCTCCACACCACGAACGGGGGCGGGTTCGGATTCGCGGTGCAATCAGAGCTTAGGAGCCCACCCTCGTTAGAGGTTCGAGGCACAATGCGAACTCGCCGAAATCAAACTCCAGCGCCAAAACTCGCATCGCACATTGTCCCCGTCCACTACCTGCCCACCCACCCCACCCCCCAGGAACCAGTTCAAGCTAAAGGCGATGGCCCGGCATATGCTGAAAGAGCGTCAGGGGGGAGGGGCGGGATGGAGGGAGAGCGGGGCAGAACGCGGAAACACATGGGTGAGGAGGGAGGCGTGAGGAAGGAGGCGAGGAAAGGGAGGCGAGAGGAGGGAGGCGAGAGGGAGGGAGGGAGGGAGGAGGCCGAAGAGGAGGGGGGGAACGAGTCTCCTTTTGAGTTATCAGGGCTCGTTGCTGCCCCTCGGGGGGATGTCGTCCACCTTCTTGCGTGCGCCTGCGCCCCGCAGGGCTTCCGGGCCGTCGCAACCACGGGGGGGAGAGGAGAGAAGGAGGAAAAGAAAGGAGGAGGAGGAGGACGAGGAGGAGGAGGAGGAGGAGGAGGAGGGGGGGGGGAGGAGGAGGAGGAGGAGGAGGAGGAGGAGGAGGGAGGAGATGAGGAGGAGGAGGCTTGAAGGAAGGAGGATGAGGAGATGGGAGGGGAGAGCTGAAAGGAAAAGGAAGGAGGAGGAGAGAAGAAAAGGGAGGAGAAGAGGCGGGGGAGAGGAGACGGCACGGAGGTAGGAGGGAATGGGAGGGGGAGGAGGCAGGAGGAGAAGAGTGCGGAGGTAGAGGAGAAGGGAGGAAGGAGGAACGAGGAGAGGAGGGTAGAGCAAGAAAGGGAGGAGAGAGGAGGGAAGGGAGATGAGTGAGGGGCGAGCTAGGTGCACTCGCGCCATAACTGACAACCGACCCCTCCCACCCATGCTTTCCCATTGGGCTTAGATGTTGTGCCTGCCGACGCGTGTCATAGCGTACCTGGAATTCCAAGCAGGACCCCATCGTGTTATGCGCATTCGGAACAGGGGAGCTGCGTACATTGGAGGAGGTGGCGAACGAGCAGGAGTAAAAAAAAAATGAAGAGGAGGAAGGAAGAGGATGAGGACGAACAGCAGCAGGAGCTGGAGTAGGAGGGGGAGGAGCAGGAAAACCAGGAATGGGCGGAGGAGTTAAATGGCGGGACGACATTAAAGAAATATGTCCCCGATCCAAAAAAGTTCCTCACGCTGGGGCCAGAGTGCCAGCCTGAACGACGGGAGCAAAACGCCGATCTGAAAATGAGGCCCACGCTGCAGCGGGAACGCGATATGCCGCCCCGAACGCGATCGGAACGAATCCATCTATAACATAACCGAAATTTGAAACCCGGCGCCCACAAGAAACAATACGCGAGGAGGGCCGAGCATCTCCTGGACAGAGTCAGGAGAGAGAGGAGGAGACAATATTCATTATGTGTACTGCTTGGAGCCCGCAGAGGAGGAGGAGGAGGAGGAGGAGGAGGAGGACGAGGAAGAGGACGGCTTTCCTGTTTCCACAGCCCCTCCAAATCACCGGTTGACCGTGTGTCATGAAGGCGGGAATGGAGGGCGACAAGAAAGAGGAAGAAGAGGAGGGAAACGGGGACGAGGGGTCGCAATGACGCCCCGGAAGCCGAAACGACAACGCAGGAGGAGAGGAAACGAGAGGGGTTTCGAAATAACGACGAGACAACACGCTAAACATGCAAAGTGACAGGCGACAACAGATTGCCCCGCCAAGGCGAGCGGGTCCTAAACGCCTCCACCACACCGCACGTAACCCCCACACTGAGCATCACGCGACTACCTCCTGCTCCTCCTCCTCCTCGTCCTCCTCATCCTCCTCTTCCTCGTTCTCGTCCTCCTCCTCTCCCCGAGCAGCAAGCGTGCCCCCTGAGAGTCATCACGTCTCAGACCCACACGGGGCGCATAGAGACATACGAATACTGTACGTCTTCCTTGGAGGCGCGCACCCGACTCGAACATATGATATACCCATCTACTTGTAACGCATCGTTCCCCGAGTGACGTGGCCAGAAAGCGCCCGCCGCGACGCATATACTATACGAGAACTATCGCGCGCGCGCGCCAAGCGCGCGCTCAGGTTCTAGCCCAGGTCGGGGGGACGCTGGAAGACCTCGGATAGCGAGTGACATGTCGTACAGGCGCGTGACATGTCGTACCTATCCTCACCCACCTTCTGATTTCAAACGTAACCTTCGTATTCCTCGCCATGATTAGATTCGCCATCATAAAAACCATCATGACCATACTCATTATGAACATCATCAACAGGAGGAGGAGGAGGGCGAGGAGGAGGCGCAGGAGGAGGAGGCGTGGGGAAGTCCATCTTCGAGTGGCTTTTGGCGGTTTCTGGAGAGCCTCCGAGCTCGCTACCCTACCCCCTTCCCATTACAGGTGGGGGGAGCGAAGCGAGAATGCAAACTCGCAGTATTCATGTGT